TTAGCACAGGTATTTTATTCTGTATGAGAGTAAACTGCTAGGACCCTCCTCTCCCTACTCTATTAGCATATATTCACTTACAGATTAACTGGAGTTCCCAATGTATACAGTGTTTGAGAGGTAATCTTGAAAGGCAGGACAAACCCCTGACCAGGTTATGTGCCCAGAACCAGGAGAGGTGCTGCAGTCTTACCACAGAAGAAATTTACTCTACAGTAATGTATGTTTTTTCTATTTTTAGATTATTAAATCCCTTCAGGTGGATTTTGGGTTCCTCAAACAATTGCTTCAATTGAAGTTTGAGGACCGTCTTAAAGAGGAGTCTTTCAATCTGTTCACTGCTCTATATGACAGGATCCTAACAATTGAAAAACATTGTCAACAGGTAGAAGTTCTCTGATTTCCATCATTTTGGGTGTGGGTTTGTCTTGTACTCAAATGCGTAGATTACTATAGTTATGAACCATCAATGCAAGAAACGTCCAAACCTGTAGAGAATTTTTGTAAGGAGTTTATTTGAGCCAAACTGACAACATATGCTGGGGAGCAAGATCTCAAACGCTCCTGAGAATAACAATCTTGCAGTTTCTTTTATGCATTTGAAATTAAGGAAGATTACATAAAAGTAGAAGGAAGCAAAGCACGGTGATTAGACTAACAAGATTATGTGCTTTCTTAAGGGTGGTTAAGGCTTATTTCAAAGGTGTGTTAACCTAGATGCACAAGAATGGACAGGGCTGGCTTAAGAAGTTATAGGCCCAGGGCGTAACTACCCACCATGACCTGCTCAGTTAGGAATTTATGATGAGATCTCCCTGTAAGGTTATTTTCCATAGAAGTCCTTTTATTGTCCACAGAATTTAGCAAGTTTTGAGGGCAATTTAATTTGCATATGTGGTGTCCCATATAATAACTACATAAAGCTACATGGAGCTCTATAATGCATATAGCTTTACTATGTGTCAGAAACTTTTTTAAGTACTCAGCATATGAACTTATTGAATCCTCATATAACCTTATGAAGTAGGTACAATGATTATCCCTCTTTTACAGATGAGGAAACCGAGGCACAGAAAGGTTAATTAACTTGCTTGAGGTCACCAGTTAAAAAATAATGGCAGAGTTTAAGTTCCAGGCCAGAGAGATGGTTTGATGTTTGAGATCTGGCTGTTAGCCACAATTTTATATGATCTTATTTATGCTTTAATGGCTCCTCAGGAGCGAAAGACATGAAAATTCTGCTACTTCAAGGAATTTCTTAAAATCTTTGGTCAGATTAGCATATTTATCTGTCATTAGGAACAGGCATCAGTGTTATTTCTCTGTTATAAAACAAAGCACCTATCGGTTGACCACACCTTCTAAATACCATGCTAAGCCTTTTAAATGCATTTCCTCTTTAAGTTCCTTAACAATCCTAAAAGGGAAATGCTATCATTCCTGGTCTACAAATAACGAAATTTAGCGGTCAACAGTTAAGTAACATGCTTAAGATCAGACAGTAGATGGCACAGTGATATTGAAATCCAATTCTGTGTGACTCTAAATCCTATTGCTGTTTACATCCCATGGTGGAATCAGAATTGATATCAGAATCAAGGGTAATTTTAAAAATGTACTACCCTTCATTGTTATACTAAACAGATATGGTCAAATGGTTTGATTAATCAGAAAATGGCTAGAGTACGGATTAGCAGCTCTAGGTTCCTTTACATGAGCATATCCCATTCAAGAAATACAAGGACCAGAAGAGGGTATGAATTGCAATAGATTTTACCTCTTTTAAAAGCAGTTCTAGGAAGACAGTAAAAAGACTTTGATATGTAAAATGAAATAAAATGTTCAAATTATCTGTATTTATTTTATCCATATGGGCTCTCTATTGCTTTTGGTTAAGTGTTAGTAAAACTGTAATGTGTTATAATAGCTGTAGCATAGAAGTGATTATAAAATGAAGTTTTTAAGAGATTGTGATGATTTAAATGATCGTTTTATACTGAGTTTCTCCCTAGTAGGTGTGAGAGTTGTATTTGGAAATACATTATGGTACTCATTGTATTTATTTTTGGTTTGCAGAATGAGGATACCTTAAGAAAATGCTATAATCAGCAGTTGGCCGACGCCATAGCTGTCATCAGAGGAATGTACAAGGTGGGTTTTTAGTGCTGTCCTGGGCAAGACCAGCTTTCTATCTTGGGAGTGCACAAGAGAGGCTCAGCGTGGCTTCCCAGTCTGTGTTTTAGTGATGTAAAAAATGTCCAAACCTGTAGATAATTTTTATAAGAGTTTATTTTAGCAAAACTGATGACATATGCCAGGGAACAAGATCTCAAATGCTCCAAGGAATAAGAGTTTTGCAACTTCTTTTGTGCCTCTGAAATTAAGGAGGGAATGTGAGGAAGATTATAATGGAGTTAGGAGGAAGCAAGATGGGGATTGGATTACAGGATAGTTAACAAGATTTAGTGCTGTCTTGAGGGGGTTAAGCTAATTTCAAAAGTGTGTTAACCTAGATTCACAGAAACAATGGACAGGGCTTGCTTAAGACAAAGATAAACCTTTTACTAAAGAAGTTATAGTCCTGGGGCGTGGCTACTCCCATGACCTGCCCAGTTAAAAATTTATGATCAAATCACCCTGTGAGGTTACTTTTCCACAGAACCCCTTTTTTTCATCCACAGTTTTTACCTTTGAAGATCTGTTCTCTTAATTTTCAGGTCCCTGAAGAGGGATCAGACCTAAAATTGTTCACACTCACATTTAATTTAACAAAATAATACTATATAGTGGCAGATATACATTTCCAGAGGCTGGAGGATTCCAGTCTGGTACCCAAAGTGGGCAGATGATGAAGTAATCCAGTTTGCTTGGTGAGTATGCAGTTGGATAGAAGGTCAAATAGTCCTAACTTGAGTTTATCAGGTCTGTAGTAAATCCCAGAGAACTATCTCTGACATTCGATGGAGTAATTTTTTTTTTTTAGAGATTTTTATTGGGAATTGGGGGAGGGGAACAACGCTAGGGAATCAGAGAAGGGGAACAGATAAGTTGCTTTTTTGTTTTGTTCTTCAGTCTAGTTGTGGAGGACGTTACTTCACTGGCCCAAGTTGGCACCATCATTGTGCTCTTCCCAGGCGAGGCAGACCAGTCGCCAGCTTCTGGATGGCCACTCACTGGGGCTGCTGGCAGCTCCTGCTGGCTGCTGGTTATACACTGTAGCCCATGGCAACCCACTGCAGCAGGGGCTGCAGCCCACACCGTCGCGTGCGACTCAGGCAGCCCAGCTCCAGGTTGAGCTGTTGTTCAGCATCTTAGCTGTAGAGNGGAGTGCTGGCCAGAGCCGGTCCACAGGGATGGCTTGTCAAGTGGCCAAGAAACACTGAAAAATGCATATCGGTTCTTTACCTAGCTTGGAGATCCAAGTCTTCGTTCCAGAAGGTCCCGAGTCCTCAAAAGTCATGCATTTTTTTTTGTTGTTGCTATAATCTTTACCATTGTAGTGGAGGAAACATAATTTTCCCTTTACCCCTCTGAATTCTTGGCTGTAATAAAAGACAGATTAACAGGAGAAAAACAAGTTTAATAACATGTATACCTCCTATATACATGGGAGATACCCAGGAAAACTGAGTAACCCTCGAAATGGCCCAAGCCACCACCTTAAATACCATACCCAGCTAAAGAGAAAAGATGTTGGGGGGTGGGGGAAGCCAGCTATAGGAGGTTATCAGACAAAGCACAGTATGACTGTTATGCAGATTCAAGCCTGAGCCTTCTCTGTGGATGAGATTGAGGCACCCTCTCTTCCTGGTACAGAGAGGAAGACCCCCTTACAAATAGCGATTTCCTCCCAAGAGGTATATTTTGGGGTGGCAAACTAGGCTCCCCTTTAGCATGAAAACGCTAAGAGCCCCTCAGCCCCCTCCAAGACTCTTCTGGGTTCCACACCTAGTTTCCCTGACTCCATTGTATACCAACAACCCACTTTCCCCTTGGTGATCAGAAACAATCACCTCACCAGTAGAGTGACCCCTTTCTCTGCCTTTGGTCCAGTGTTTCTGGAAGGAAGCATCCTCCCCTTGGGAACTAAGACCTCCAAACCAGCAGATCATATAGGTGTTGGGACAGGAAACAATAATTTGGGGAGTGGGTTATTGGGCGTAATCGCCAGAGGAGCCACATCCACTTCTCTCCCTTGATTCCCAGACCTATGGCTGTGGGAGACAGAGCACCACTGCTGATTCAAAGCACACACTGCATTCTGTAAGACAGGACCGCATCCCTTCATGATTTGTCTCTCAACTGCCATAACTAAATCTTCAGTAAGCTATTTTACCGTCCATTAGGCCAGCCGCTACTGGATGATGGGCCAAGACAGTTGTTTCCATGGGCATGAGCCCGTGGCCACACTTCTTTCGCTTTGAAATGAGCACCTTGATCGGGAGTCTTGCTGTGCACAACGTCTTGATGGTGGATAAGCATTCTGTAAATCAATGGATGATGATTCTGGCAGATGTGTTATGGTCCGGGAATGCAAATTCATATTCAGATTATATGTCTGTCTCAGAGGGTCAATGTTATCAATGTGCCACCGGGTGGCTGGCTATCCCTGCTGGTTAAAACTGCTATATTAGGGGATCAGTATTAATCTTTGCTGTGGACAGATTAGGTGCTCAATGCTTGCTGCAGCCAGGCCAGCCTTCATAAGGGGAAGACCATGGAGTTGTTGAACTCCATCCCTGCCACCACAGCCATTTTGTTTTGGCAGATGGACAATGTTACCTCATCCTTCAAGGGTGCTCATTAAACACAACTCTGAAGCATGGCCTGTGGAGAGCATGCTCAGGGCTTTACGTGCTTGGCGAGTCCAGGAAGAATGTGCGGGGATGCTCAGGGCAGGGAGACTGCCTCTCTCCACAGTATTGTGTCAGTGAGAAAAGATGTAGCCTCCTGCAATGAATTAGATCAAATTGAAAATACAATTT